TTATTCCTAAATACCCATCTAGTACCTACAATAGATTTATTACTAGGCCTTTCAACTAATGTGCATACTTTACTTCTCTCAAATTGATTTAATTTTTCTTGCATAGCCATAATCCAATTTTCATCATCTAATGTTTCTTTGATATTCTTAGGCTCTATGCATGAAATAAATGCAACATAATTACATATATTTCTAAGAGAAGATCAAGTTGTTACCCCCTTTGAATGGATCACCTATCATTTCACCATCATTGACATAGTTGTATTCTCTTGGGTAAGAGACTTTCCTTTCTTCACTGGTTGGATTCTCGAGAACGTCATGAGTTTCCTCATCTTTCGTTTCTTCCTTTGATGATGGTTCTCCAACGTTATGTCTAACGTCATTTGCTTTTACAATACCTACGTTATTATCAACACAAGAATCCTTCCTAGGAAGGGGATTATTATCGAAAACAACATGTATAGACTCTTATACCACTAAAGTTATTTTATTAAATACTCGATAAGCTTTAAAATTTAAGGAATAACCAAAAAAATTCCTTCATCATTTTTAGCATCAAATTTGCCAAGATTTTCTTTACCGTTGTTTAAAATAAAATATTTACATCTAAAAGGATGAAAATAGATAATATTAGGCTTTTTATTTTTGAAAAATTCATATGGAGTTTTCTTTAAAATTGGCCTAATCATTACTCGGTTTATAACATAACAAGCGGTATTTGTAGCTTTAGCCCAAAAATATTTTGGCAAATTGTTTTCACAAAGTATGGTTCTAACCATTTCTTCTAAAGTTCGATTTTCCTCTCAACAACTCCATTTTGTTGAGGGGTTCTAAGTGCTAAAAAATTATGGTTAATACCATTTGAATTACAAAAATCAGTAAATCCAAGATTTTCAAATTCATTACCATGATCACTCATAACACTAGTTATGGAGTAACCTTTTTCATTTTGGATTACTTTTGAAAACGTGATGAATTTTTCTAATGCTTCATCTTTAGTACTTAAGAATAGAACCCAAGTATATCTAGAATAGTCATCTACCAATACAAAACAATATTGTTTTCCACCCAATCTAACAATACTAATTGACCCAAAAAGATCTATATGGATCAATTGTAATACTCTACTATTTGATACATCATTAATGGACTTAAAGGAAGCTTTTGTATGTTTTCCTTTAGCACATGCATCACAGATTTTATCATTATCAAATTTTAGCTTTGACAACCCTTTTACTAAATCTCCTTGAATTAGTCGTTGTAAAACACTCATGCTAGTATGTCCTAGTCTCCTATTCCATAACCAACTATGATGTTAATCCTTAGCAACTAGGCATACATTAGTCATATTTATAGAATCTAAATGCACCATGTATATGTTTCCTATTCTATGACCAATAAGCATAATCAGATTAGATGCAATGTCAATGACTTTACAACCATTAGTTTCAAACATGACATTGTATCTTTTATCGCATAATTGACTAATACTCAATAGATTATGCTTTAATCCATTCACATATAAAACATTTTTAATTTGTATGGAAGATGTATTATCTATTGTACCTATACCTTTAATGTGACCTTTTGAATTATCACCAAAAGTCATTTCTCCTCCATTTTTGTCGTTAAGCTCTATGAACCAACTCTTATCTCCTGTCATGTTTCTTGAGCATCCACTATCAAGGTACCATGAACTTGAATTTGTTTCCCATGCCTTGTCGCAATGCTCTTTTTCCTACAAACATATATTATTTTTTTATTTTTGGTACCCAAATTCGTTTGGGTCCATATTCATTAGTCTCTAAAATCCTAGTCCCTTTGGGTATCCATTTGTGTAGGATATCCTTATCTTTAATAGTAATGAGTTCTTTAGGAACCCATATACTTCTAACAATTTTTACATTAGAGGTTCTTTGGGGACCTCTATGATTGTAGTTTCTAAAAATTTTCCTAACAAAGTTGGATTTTGATTTCTCTCCATTTTCCAAATTTTTTGTTTCAACTTTATTAAAACAAGTTTTAAGATCATCAATTTTCTTTTGATGATCATCACTCACTCTTGAAAGTGGGTTATGTAAATCAGTATTTTTCTTTTCAAATTCATCTAATTTGATTTGCAATTCTTTGACCTTACTTTCAAGATCAATGTTGGTCTTGGATATGAGATTATTTTCAATTTTCAATTTTGAAATATCATTTTTATATTTTAAAAATATTTTCTCATAATTCGAAGCCAACCCAGTATATTCCTCTAACAGCTCATCAAAAGAATAATCTTCAAAATTAAATGAGCTAGAGGTTACCTGAGAATCCTCCTCAAAAGCCATCAAGCACAAGTTTGCTACTTCTTGTTCCTCTTCATTGGATGCTTCTTGATCGCTCCATGTAGCCACGTGTGCCTTATGCTTCTTCTTGGATTGACCCTTTTTCTTTAATTGTGGGCAATCGTATTTGACATGACCCAGCTTTTTGCAATCGTAGCAAATGATAGGGTCTTTTTCCTTTGGTTCATTTTTGAAGCCTTCATTTCGTTTGAATTTTCTTCCTCGGTTGGGCTTTATCGATTTTCTGAACTGCTTGGCAAATAATGTCATTTCCTCGTCATCTTCATCCGAATCACTCTCATCTTTTGTGGATTTGAGAGCAACTCCAACGTTATTCTTCTTCTCCATCTACTTCTTTGTCTCATTTCTTTTCTCGAGGTCTTCCTCTTCTTGAAGCATCATTTCATGCGTGAGGAGAGAACCAATAAGTTCATCGAGGGTTAAAGATTTTAAATTTTAGCCTCGATAATCATCGTATTCTTTGATTGTCAAGCTTTTGGAAGAGAGTAAACTAACTTCCTCACAAGCTTCTCGTTTGGAATGATTTCTCTATATGATTTGAGACCATTGAGAATCACGGAAAATCTATCTGTCATAGCTTTAATGTCTTCATCTGGTTTCGTCCTGAAATTTTCATAGCTATGAGTTAGAAGACTAATTTTAGATTCTTTTACCTTGTTTACGCCTTCATGAGTGACTTGTAGTTTATCCCCTATCTCCTTGGCGGTTGTACAAGATGAAACTCCCCCATATCCATCTGGTCCAAGAGAACAAATATGATATGGATAGCCTTTGAGTTGAGCTGGAACATTCTTGTCTTTCTTTCACTCCACAATCTTGAACGAGTGGAAGGTATGATGTATCCATCTTCTATGATATTACATGCTCTCATGTCACTTTCTTGAATGAAGTACCTCATTCTATTATTCCAATAAGCTTAATTATCTCCATTGAAGAAAGGAGGCTCGTTGACGGGCAATGAATCAAGACCAAAGTCAAAGTTTGAAGTAGAGGCCATTGATGACTTGAATATCGATATAACTCTTCCCGAATCGACTCAAGAGGCGATTAAACCTTCAAATGAGTGAGGTTCTGATATAAATTGTTGAGTTAATCGATCGATGAAATAGCCAAGAAGGGGTGAATTGGTAATTAAAATTTTGGTGGAAGCTTTTGCAGAAAATAGAAAATATTTGTACAGCGATTTAGAGTGATTCGACTTTCTCAACCAAAGTCTACGTCCACTACCTTAGCTATCCACACTAAGGATTTTCCAAAAAATTCACTAATTTGTTCTTTCTTTTGAGGACAAAGAGTAATCTTACAACTCTCTCAAGAATTATACCCCAAATTCTTGAGAACACTCTCTCCCAAAGAGAAGATTACAAATTTCACAAACTTATAGAAAAACCTCACAAGGCAAGATGTTTGCATAATTCTAGAACAAAGAAAGAACACTAAAAAATGAATACAATTGAGCATAATAAGTGTTCTTGAAAGCAAAATGAATATTGAAGGAAAATTGGCTTGAATTGCTCAAACTTGATGTTTAAAGCTTTCTTTGTTTCTCTCTCAATATTTTTAAAATTGTTTCAAAAATATTTTAAGATTAAAACACAATTTTACACTTAAGGATTGAAATTGGCATTTGAAAAACTTGGAGTAATATTTTGATATTCGAATAATTTAATCGAATATACTTTAAAAATGATTATAAAATCCTAAAATTCAATAACACTTAATTTCTTATATCGAAACATCAAAATGTTTTCAACAAGTTAATTCATGGGCAGACATGAATCAAATTTTTCTTGACAGGTTCTTTCCAGCAGCTAAAGTAAGCGAGTTATGGAGGAGCATTCTTTCCATTCAACAAAAGACCAAAGAAAGTCTTTATGACTATTGGGAGTGATTTAAAAAGCTTCGCGCATGTTGTCTGCAACATGGATTAAGTGAGCAAAAGTTACTTCAATACTTTTATGAAGGCCTTTTATCAATGGAGATGAAAATGGTGGATGCCGCCAGTGGAGGAGTATTAGTCAACATGACCCCAATAACAACAAGGGAATTGATTTCAACCATGGCAGCCAACTCTCAACAGTTTTCAAGTGAACTCAGCCGACAGGTTCACGAGATAAGTATTTTTTCCCTTGAGAATAAGTTAGACAAATTAACTGAAATAGTTAATTCACTTGTTTCAGGAAAATCTGGAGCAACAAGAGCACGTAGGATATGCACAAAGCTAGATCATCTAACGGATTGCTACCCGCTGATATAAGAAGGAGGCAATACAGAAATCAATGCAGTAGGGAACTTTCCAGGTCCTCCACAAAGACAATACAACCCACACAACAATACTTATAATCCAGGATGGTAAGACCACCCAAACTTCAACAACACAATTTCATGGTTAATGGTAGTTTAGATAAGTTTTTGTTTGATGACCCTAGCTATAATTATCCTGAATTGGGACCAAAGATTTAGGATCATAAAGGGTGTGGCTTCTGGTATTCTCTATTCACACAAGGATATGAACAAATTGTGATTCATAAGGATGTTAAGCCCAATAATGTATTATTAGATGATGAGCTGAATGCACGGTTAGGAGATTTCAACCTTGCAAGATTGTATGAACATGGTTCAAATCCAGTGACAAGTCGAATTGTAGGCACAATGGGATATATAGCACCGGATATGCCCAAGACAGGAAAGGACACAACAAGCTCCGATGTCTATGCTTTTGGCGTACTTGTGCTCGAGATTGCTTGTGGGCGCAGGCCTATTGATCTCAAAGCATTGCCCGAGGAATTAGTGTTGGTTGATTGGGTATGGGAGAAGTTTAGGCAAGGGAGGGTCCTTGATGTGGTAGACACTAGGCTCAATGGCCAATATGATGAAAGTGGGATGATGATGGTGCTTAAGTTATGCCTAATTTGTTGAAACGACGTGCCTGTGGCACGGCCAAGCATGAGGAAGTTAGTAAGGTATCTTGATGGAGAGGTTGACTTACCAGAAAATTTGACGCCACCGGTTGCATTTCATGGGGGTGCAAAGGGATTTGATGCCTTTGTGCATTCGTCCTTGTCCTCATCCCCGTCATTGGATAATATGATTTCATATCCATTCTTGGAAAATAGTAATGTCGGTACTAGCTAGCTTCACTTCTATTTCAAGCTCTCCACTTCCTGAGGACAAACTATATATTGTATTGTGTTTGAGACTTTGAGCTTGTATTATATGCAAAACTGTGCAGAAACTTAATCAAAGGGAATAAAAGAAAGTGATTTCTCTAACGAACATGATGTTTCAATGATATTTTTTTTCTGATCCAATATTTTTGGCCAAGTATAATCAATCATAATTCAAAGAAAAATATAAATTCAATTAAAATCAAATAATTAGAATCATTTCTTATTTTCTCAAATGTGTAGTCAATGGCCGCAATGCAATCATAAGTTCTTGTTACCCTAGGAGGAGAATGTTGATGGTGGTGACATTTTCTTTGACCGGAGCAAAGTAGAAGACGATGGGAGTGAGTATGGCAATACATTATTGTTTTTAAATTTACAATACTACAATTCCGGGAAGAACAAGAAATCGAATCATTAATCTAATATCAAAGGTGAAGCTAATTAGATTTGCTTTGCTTTTATTGTTTTGTAATTCACCATCATTGTATTAATAGGGAAACCACGGTAGATGCTGCTCATCTTTCTTTTATGATTTCTACACAGTGAGTTGTGAAGTAGCTTCGAAATTTAAGTGCAAATTTGATTTGAATTTCAACCGTTTTGAAGGTTTTAATTATGTTTTTTCAGCTGTAGGTACTGGTTGATCATGGCTTGAACTGAAGTTACTTCCTTAGGCTTGTAAAGTTATTATCAATTCCTCTGGCTGCAATTACTCATATGACTTTGGAAATCAAAGTTTACCTTCTTCTCCATAAAGAAATGACTGGGTAACTCTTAACTTTGATTTGATTCTCATAATTAAGGCAATGCTTGTCAAATGTGGGACTTCATAATTAATGTTTAATTGACAAGTCTCCCTCTATCATTTTTCTTATACAAGAAATTAATGTTCTCTTAATATATATAAGATTGATTGATGTGAAACGTAGAAAGTGGTGGGAAGTAGAGCAAGTATGACATGACTGGGTTATGGGGGAAAAAATATCAACCATAGAAGCTAGCCCTTAGTATACGAATTGAACTAAAGCGTGGAAAATGCAAATCATAGCCAGTACCCACATGACTTTGAAAGAAAACTTGGACCAATTGACGGGAGATAGAATAGGATAATATCAGAGTTTGAGAACTATTATTTCTTGTTGATGAACAAAGCCTTCTCAAATACAAATCAATCTCAAATCTATAACCCCAAAATTTTCCTTCTCATAATTCATCATGTCATTGTTACCTTCAACCTTATCATGTATTTCTAGAAAGAAATACGATGTTTTCTTGAGTTTTAGAGGTGAAGATACACGCAAAAACTTCACAGATCATCTCTATGATGCTCTAAATCGAAGTGGAATTATCACTTTCAGGGATGATTCAAAGATGGATGCCGGTGAAGAGATCGCAGCACAACTCTTTCGAGCCATTCAACAATCATGGTGCTCGGTAATTGTTTTTTCAGGAACCTATGCCTTTTCAAGTTGGTGCTTGGAGGAGCTTGCTGAGATTGTTAAACAAAAAAACGAGAAAGGACATAAAGTGTTTCCAATTTTCTACGATGTGAATCCATCTGATTTAAGAAAACAGAAAGAAAAAGTTGAAGAAGCATTTGCCAAACATGCAGAGAGATACAAGGAAGATAAAGAAAAGATTCTAAGGTGGCGAAATGCTTTGACTCAAGTGGCTAACATCAAAGGATGGCATTTAAATAACAGGTAAACCATTCTTTTCTTTCCCGTTTTCTTGTTTAATTAATTTAATAATTATAAAAATGAACAGAATTTTATTTATTTGTAGGCATGAATCAGAGTTTATCGGAGATATTGTTAGAAAAATATCAGCAAAATTATGTCAAACATATCCAGTTTTTCATGATGAGTTGGTTGGAATCAGTTCACGCTTGGAGGAGTTGTATTCAAAAATAGAGATTGGGGAAGATGACATCCGCATCATAGGAATTTGCGGAATGGGTGGCATTGGTAAAACAACTCTCGCAAGAGTTGTATACGACCAAATGTCATCTCATTTTGAAGGTAAATGCTTCATTGCTGACGTTCGAGAAGTTTCAGACAAATTTGGACTCGTTTCTCTACAGAAACAACTTCTTTTCCAGATCTTGTCTGGTGAAGTCTTCGAATTTTTCAATGTTCATGAAGGGAATGCCATAATTAGCCGCAGATTATCTAACAAAAAGGTCCTTGTTGTGATTGATGATGTGGATAATTTACAGCACTTGAAATACTTGGTTGGAAGGCATGATTGGTTTGGTTTAGGGAGTAGAATCATTATAACAACAAGAGATGAACACTTGCTCCAATCTTACCGAGTTGATGATGTGTATAAGCCTTCAACATTGAATGACAGCGAGGCACTTCAACTTTTCAGTTTGAAAGCTTTTGATAGTGAGACAGCACCAAATGATGTTTTCATTGAGCTTTCTGAACATGTTGCAAAATATGCCAGTGGTCTCCCGTTAGCTCTTGAAGTCTTGGGTTGTTTTTTGTGCGGTAGAGATGTAGCTCAATGGAGAAGTGCAATCCAAAGACTTGAAAAGGATTCTAACAAAGAGATTATTGACAGACTTCGAATTAGCTTTGATGGATTGGAGGAAACGGAGAAGAACATATTTCTAGATATAGCATGCTTCTTCAATGGGGACGAGAAAGATTTTGTAATGAAAGTATTGGATGGCTGTGAGTTTTTTCCGGATATTGGAATCGATGTTCTCATTAAGAAGTCTCTACTAACAGTTGACGAAAACAACAAATTATGGATGCACAACTTACTACAAGAAATGGGAAGAAGAATTGTTCGGGAAAAATCTATTGAGGAGCCTGGAAAACGTTGTAGATTGTGGGAGGAAAAGGATGTATATCATGTGCTAACGAAGAACACTGTAAGTCATTCCAGGGAAATTGCATATTATATTAATGTTAAAGACAGAAATGATACACACAATGTAATTTTTCACAAGTTTTATCACATAAATTGCCTCGTTTTATTTTGTGTTTCTTATGTATTACTTTTGAATGTTTTTAGGCTACGGAAGCGATTCAAGGCATGATCATTGACGATAAAAGGTAGCAAAACATACATAAACATGCATCCATGTGTAAATTTCATATTCGGTCAAAAGTGACCCTTAAAGTTTTATTATATCACTATACTCAAATTACACCGTTCCTCATTGAGTTATACTCTCTTTCTTGTTTTACTCACTGTACTTTTAGTTTTTCTAATTTATTTTGAAAATCCTTGAAGAATCATCTCTATGTTTCTATTCGGATGTGTGGGATACAACGGAGCATAGATAAATTAAGTGTTGGAGCAGCCTTGCTTTTTGGTATGGAATGCTTTGGGATATTTTCAAATTTGAACTGAATTTTCGTTGTTTTACCCTTGGTTATCAGGATATCCAACAAGATGCTCAATTTGAATGTTAATGCTGTCTCGAAGATGAAAAAATTGAGATTGCTCAAAGTCCTTTGCCTCTCAAATTGTGATGAACTCAAATATCTTCCTAATGAGTTACGGCTCTTAGATTGGATGGGATATCCTTTAAGATTCTTACCTCCAAGCTTCCAACCAGACAACCTGGTTGCACTTCTGCTACCACACAGTCGCATTGAACAACTATGGAGGGGAAATATAGTAAGAACTAATTCATATTATCATTGTTTTTTTAACTTATTTTAGGAATATTAACTAAATCTTCTGAAATTTATTATTATTTTCAGCAGCCCCTGTATAAGTTGAAAGTGCTCAACCTCAAAGGGTCCGAAAACCTGATCAAGACACCGGACTTTACAACAGCCCCAAATCTGGAAATTTTGATATTGGAAGGTTGTACAAGAATAGTAGATGTTCATCCATCAGTCGGAGTTCTTTCGAGGCTTAAACTTCTGAATTTAAGAAGCTGCACAAATCTTAGGAATCTTCCAACCAAAAGTGGAATAGAATCTCTTGAAACATTAATCCTAAAAGATTGTAGAAACCTTATTAGTCTCCCAAGCAGCATTGGTGGGTGTAAATGTCTAAAAACTCTTGATCTTTCAGGTTGCTATAAAGTTGAAAATTTGCCGGAGAATTTGCAGCAAGTAGAGTTGTTGGAAGAGATTGACTTAAGTGAAACAGCCATAGAAAAACCGCCATCCTTCATTTTTCAACTTAAAAATCTTAAAGTTTTGTCTTTGAATAGGCTCAAGACACCATCTAAGTTAGCCCCAAATCTACCTTCTCTTTTCCAGGTATTCCAAAGAGGACGGATCGAGTCTTTGCCTCCAATGTTACATTCATTGTCAGGTTTGATTTCATTAAGAGAGCTGAAACTAAGGAACTGCAATCTTCGTGAAGGAGATATTCCAAGTGATATTTGTTGTTTACACTATTTGGAAAAGCTTGAGCTTGGTGGTAACAATTTCATCAGCGTACCTGTGTCTGCTATTGGATTTCCCAGTCTTCAATATCTTGGATTGTCAAATTGCAGGGAGCTTAAATCGTTTCCTAGTCCTGGTACTTCTCTATTTGCAGCTCCATCAATGGTTTGCAATGCAGTGGAACGGTTTAATGGTCTTCACTGCTACAAATTATTTGAGAATATCAACACATTAACAATGCTGAAATTCTATCTTAAGGTCGATTTATCATTCTTTGTATTTACAGAATCTCATTCTTGAAAAATTACAGTATTAGTTACCAAACAAAATTTTATTTTGCAGGTAGTTGCATGTTTAAGAAAAAGTTTTGATGTTGTTATGCCCGGAGGTGAAATCCCAAAATGGTTCAGCCATCAAACAGTTGGCTCTTCAATCAAGATACCACTGCCTAACAATATTCAGAATGATAGTCAATGGATGGGAGTTGCTTTCTGCTGCATTTTTGTCAATGATGATGCTTCAAGGGATGAGGAACTCACATGTGATGCTGTTATCCATCATAGGAATTCTGGACAAGCTGATTCTGATAGATCTGGTTTTCGGGGTAGAAATCCTCGACGTGTTTCAGGGGACGGTTGGATTTTTTCTAAAGAATATAACCAGCCAATAATAAAGGACCACCTTTATCGTTGTTTTTTGTTCCGTGACAGATTATATCCATTTTCCTTAGAGGATAAATGTGGTGAAAGTGAAACTGAGAATTCATCAACATTGGATTGCTCAAATCAGGAATTCGATGAACTCCAGTTTTCGGTCACATCCGATGATAGTCACATAAGTGTTAAGGTCAAGAAATGTGGGCTTCGAATAGTTTATCAGAAAGATTTGGAAGATATCAATGAAGATTCCGCCGCAGATGGATCAATAGCTGAAGGTCCCCTTATAAAGCGAAGACATAATGTTTATGAAGAGACCGAGGCCGAGCCACAACCAAAAAGGATACACAAGTTTTTCAATTTATGATGGGCCGAACGGGGAAGAAGGATTAGTTACTATTTGATTTTATTAAAGACTCACCGGCTGAAGATGAGGATAACACATTAAAGACTCCCTCCGAGAAAAGAAAAATGAAAAGAGGAAGACTGAACGAGCTAAGAAAGTACATCAGCTTGATTTGATTATTTTTGGTAAATATCTCTTTGAAGATTTCATTCTAATGTGGCTTACTATTTGAGGTGGCAGAGGTTGAAAATTCGGATCTTCGAAAGGCACTACTCAGAGCCCTGGAAGAGCTATTTGATCTGCCTTCACAAACAAAAGAGCTCTATGTTTCTAACAAGCCTTTCGTGGCTATTTGGGGGTTGCAATTGGATTATTACATGGTTAAATGGTCGATTGTGTGTCTTATCACTTTCATCGTGATGAAGGGAAACAAGGTACGATACATTTGCAAGGTTCCAGAAAAGCTTGTAGATGACCAAAATGGCTTGTTCATGATAATTCATTTATTGCAAGGTAAGTTGGATTGCACCACGAAAGAAAGAGGGTGAAATAGTTTTATGATGTTTGGAGCATTATCATCCTTATCTTTGCCAATGTTTCTTCCAAGTAAAACACCAAAATCGTTGGCACCAACAGCATGTTGATAGTAGTTTTCACTGCTTTCGTGACACTTGGTGCCTTCGTCTCTGGTCTCGCCAATGTCATCTTCAAATCTCCAATGCTTTTCTTTGATTCGCCTCCTGTCGGGATGATTCTAACCTGAGCAAGATCAAATTTATGTACCCTATGAGTTCTTTCCCGAGAAACTAAATTTCGTTTTATATAAACTCTTGCAGGCTTCATCAAATACGAGTATTCTTGATTCCGACATTATTCGCCCTAGTCCTTGTGGCAGCAGGTGCAACTGAAGTCATGGCTACAACCGGAATCATGGACTTCATTACACTGGCAAGTTTCCACGGCCGCCGTTGTTGCTATTTTCTTGTAATTTGCTTTGCTCAAATCTCATTTGCATCCTCACCCCCGACGTCCAATTATTATTATAATCTAACATTAACCTTCAAACTCTATAATTGTAAGTGCACCGAAGGGTACGAATCAGAATTTTTTTAATGAAAATTAGAAAAGAAACAAAGCCTAGGAACTAAACTATTGTTCCATCCATGCCTACAGCAGTGACTGCTTCAGCATGGTAAAGCGATAAAATCCCATCTGGAGGAGAATGAAAGAGTCAAAGGCCAAAACGTAGGTTCCATGCTAACTTCGCCATGGCGTCTGCGATCTTATTACCTTCCCGAAGCACATGAGTAAACTTCATCTGCCAATCATGTCTAATAAAATACACGATATCTGGAATCAAATTAGAAACCAACTTCATATTTGTACCTTGCTGCAGTATCATCCATGCATCCTTGCTATCTGTCTCAAGAACTACAAGTCTTAACCCCAAATCCCAAGCTACTTTGAGGCCTTCCAGAACTCCCCAAAGTTCTGCATCCAACACCGAACACACTCCTATGGCTTTCGTGAAACCACCAATCCATTCCCTATTAGCATCACGAATAACTCCACCACAAGTTGTTAGACATGAAATAGGTCTCTAAGCACCATCTGTATTTATCTTAAATCAACCTGGTGGCGGAAGACTCCAACAAACTGCTCGGTCCATCCTATTTGGACCATTTACCGACGTTAAGAGTAAGTCCCGAGCATGACCAGCCTCCACTACTAAGCGACGACTACGCTGCGAAATACTCTCCATCTCTAAAGATTCTGGTGCAAAAATAGAATGGTTTTGTCTCGTCCAAATGCTCCACAGAATGGACCCAAATAGCACATCCCAATCATCTGAGTTCAAAGGAAAATAATATGGGCGCTGAAGATTCAGTTGAATCCAGTCCACGATGTTCATACCGAAGAATTCAACAAGCCGGTCTGGTTTGATTAATTCCTGCCAAGCAGTATGCACCACAATACACTCTCTAAAAACATGAGTTAACGATTCCTTTGCTGCACCACAGTTGAGGCAGCTTTCATCATTTGTCATGTGTCTTCGCGTCCGTTATTCATTTGTCACAATCCGACCCTTACAAATTAACCAAAGGAGACGCACTCTTGGTAATCCCTGGAATTTTGCAATCGTTTTCCAAAGTTGATTCCCAGAAGTTCTGATTATTTCCATCCAACAATTGTAGGCGCTAGAGACAGAGAACTGACGATTATTTTCCAAAATCCACCATGGTTTCCAAAATTCACCAAGCAGCAAGTAGCAGTCTTATCAATATGAAGGCAATATATATATATATATATATACATACATATACAATCAATAACTATCTCCAGTTGTTTTCTTCATCCAACCGGAGATGTTTTAGCAGTGAGAAGAATGAGAGCTCGCCAGTGGTAACTTGTCCATAGCTTCTTGTACTTCTGCACAAAGGCCCCGATATCTATTTCCCCGTAAAGAAGCTGCCTGTTCACTATTTACGATTCCTCTTCTGTTGCATTCATTGCATCTACAAGGAAGTAAAACCATCTTTAAGTGCTCGCATCTAAACCCCAGTAACGTAGGTAATATACTATTAATATGTACGTTGAAGCCTATGCATAAACAATGCAGGGGAGTAGAACTTCAGAGTTTCTTCTTTCTGTCTCTCGAGCTGGTTTAGTTTTTCCTGAGCTGCCGCCAAGTGGTTCAGAAAATCTCACCTGGTTCCTTAGCTCCATTATTTGTGGTTTAGTTTATCCAAGTTGTCTCCCTATGCACATTTCTATATCTGCGAAATTTATAGCATTATCATAATATTAAATGGAATAAAAACTCACTAGCAAGCTACATAGTCTCCTTCTGAAGTTCATCTCTTATCTGGCAAAAAAGTTAATTCCGAACGAGTAAGAAACCGACAAAAACGATGAGATTCAGAGTAATGACGAACATAATTTTCTCGCAGCACGCATGCCAGTTCAAATAAATGGTTCTGAAACATAGCTAAAGTGCAACCCCATCATGATGCCAACAAGGAACAGCAAATATAACACAAAGCAAGGCCACGAGTTAGCGAAGATCCATGCTCGGATCGAAAAGCAAACCTAAACAAAAAAAACAACGGAAAACCTAAAAGATCTGGCCAATCGAAATTAACATGCTAAACACTATAGGTTTGATCCTAAATAAGTTTAAACATAAGATTATCCCGGAGGTCAATATGACCACGGGATCATCTTCGAGTCAATATTTCGAGTTAAGTCTTCCTTTCCATGTCTATTACACAGGAAAATAATCCATTGAATTCCAAAACATCATAACCTTATTAACCTATCTCCTCACCAGTATCAGTTTGAACATGCAGGTTCCAAATAATAACTTACCTTCATTATAACCCTCCAGACCCGGTCTGTAAGTTAGACCCAAACCTAAATGGTCACATATCCCATTCAGAGTTTTTTTTTAAAAAAAACATCTTATAATACATTAGATATAATATAGAACAAAATATTGATAATACAGATATATCTAAAACGATAGTAAATACATGTCACCAAACATAACCGAAAAACATATAGAGATATTTGTTCGTACAAAATAAGTTGTAGGTCTCTCCTGATGCCAAATCTGCTAGCTTACGGTCTGTTGTTATCTGAAAAAGGAGAAAACTACAGAATGAGCTAAAAAGCTCAGTGTGTTCCATACAGTGTATATAAAAACGTACTAATAAAAATATTCCAATAAAGTCGGTTTATGCAATCATGTCATTAAAAAAAATATGAACACTACCCCCAGCCCATCACATCAGAATGTGTAAGTTCCCCAAAACCATACACCCAGCCCACACATCAAATAAGGCCCTGAGCACAAAGCCGAGGAACCTGCGGATATACTTCCTTCAACAATACCCCTCCAATGATTGTTCATGAATGTATTTGAATGAAAACAATGATTAATTCTTTAAAACGTAAAAGTGTTCATGCTTAAAAATCATATACAGAAATACGGAAATCAGAAGGATAAATCGGTAGTATACAGAATTTCAGATATCGGATAATCAATATTCAAAACATCGGTATAAAATACCGTAACCAGAAATCATATCAGAAATACACGGTAAATCAGATATCGAATACATAATATTCACTATATATTTTAAAACAGAAATAATTAACACTGTCGGGAAACACACCTGTAACAGTCTGAGAAATCAGATAGGGAAGCTTATTACTGGTTTTGTCGATCACTCTCTGCTGCAGCGCTAGATCCTACGAATTGGAAAAATCCATATTGGAAACCTAATATAATAATATAAATATTATTTAAATAATATACGGAAACCTATGGGTAATTCTCGTAGTACGCGGTTCAGGTTGATCTAACGAACGGACAACACCAGACCTAATTGATCCTTGCTCAGGTGAAACACGAGTACCTTCATAAAATATTTTTATTGAATCAATTCCTTAACCAAATCTCAAATAAATAATAAAAATATTGAAATATTAAGCCTTTTGGGTTTACAAGCTCGATTCAGGAATTTCGGGTCATAATTTGGCAAAACGGACTTCGAAATCAGATTCAGGATGTCGAAAAACATAAAGTATGACCTTCCAAAATTATGAATTCTTGGTCAAAATCAAAGTCAACGGGTTTGACTGACGATTCGGAGACTTTCGGGTTTGAATTTTGTGAAACCGACCCCAAAAACGGATTCGGGACGTCAAAAAATGTCATGATAGGTATTCTCAGAAAAGATTAACGGCTGTTTAATAGCCGGTCAAAGCCGATCAAAAGTTTTGGTCAAAAGTAGTCAACGAAAATAGCATTTTTTTTCAAAATTACGAAAATAGCACCATTTTAAAATTAATTATCAATATAGCACCATTTTCAAAATATTTACTAAAATGTCATTTTTTAAAAATTACTAAAATAGCATTTAAAAACAATTACAAAAATAACACCTTTTTCGAATTAATTCCCAATATGTCACCAGTTTCAAAATAATTACTAAAATGTCACTCGGTCAAAAGTCAACAGTCAACGGTCAACGGTCAACG